TTGAATATGCCACCATCAGAATATTGGCAAAACCAATCCATGGCAAAAAAAAAAAAAAAGGGGGGGGGGGTCAGGAACAACATCCGAACCAGATCGCAGCCCCCCCCCCCAAAAAGCATGACTATTTTATCATTACATGCTGAAAGTGAAGAAGAGTCCTAGGAAATATCATTTGCAGAGACTCAGTCCTCAAGAAATAGAATAGAATAGCAGAGTTGGAAGGGACCTTGGAGGTCTTCTAGTCCAACCCTCTGCTCAAGCAGGAGACCCCCATATCATTTCAGACAAGTGCCTGTCCAGTCTCTTTTTAAAAGCCTCCAGTGATGGAGTACCCCCAGCTTCTGAAGGCAAGCCGTTCCATTGATTGTTCTCACTGTTAGGAGGTTTCTCCTTAATTTCAGGTTGCGTCTCTCCTTGATTATTTTACATTCATTTTTTCTTGTCTTGCTTTCTGGTGCTTTGGAAAATAGGTTGCCCCCCTGTTCTTTGTAGGCAGCCTCTCAAATATTGGAACACTGCTATCACGTCACCCTTAGTCCTTCTTTTCACTAGACTAAACATACGCAAGGGGGAAAGGTCAGGCTTCCAGTGTCCCCTTGGCTTATTTGTTAGGAAGTACAGCATTACTGCATTCAACAGGGCCTGTTCATCTTTCCAGGAAATGTGATCAGCACTGCAGCCATTGGATAGAGCCACGTGATTGAAGCTCATGAGCGAAACCTCTGACTTTGGAGCAAAATTCCATCCCAGATGAATAAGGCCTATTCCAGGACACATTTCTTGTGGGACTAATTCAGAACTTTCAGCCAAATAATAAGGGGATGTTTTTTCACTCCATAAAGGAAGACAGAAGCAAGGTTGTCACTAATATTCCATATTCCCAGTCCTGCAAATATTAACAGATGCTATTTTCAAGTCAAAGCAGGAGCTAGCTCTCTGTTTATTTAAAACATTTATGTAGCTGCCCATCTTTCCACCAACTCTGGGTGGATCAGAGTTTTAGCTCTCCAGGTGCCCTGATTCCAGCACCCATAATTCCCACAGAGCATTCAGGATTGCTCCCCATGAAAGACACCATTTTATTATTTCTCTCCTGATTGCTTTAGTCTGGTGCCCTTTGGGTGTGTTGGGCTTTTGACTGAGGGGCTTAGATTAAAGAAGCCTGTGATCCCCATCCAGCAGCAGTGGTGACCTTTATCTATGGCCATTTCCTCACTAGTCTGTTATAACATCATCCAACCCTCACTGTGATGATGTAAACTGTGAATGGATGATGCTTTAAATCTCTAAAAAGAATTCTCAGTTCAGATCATCAGACTGATCTTATTTGAATAATAGATGTGATTTAGTTTGTTGAGTGGATCATAAGATTAATCTGATTTGAAAAATTAATTTAATTCAGAAAATTCTGTTTAGAAAAATATTTTTTGCAAAGGCCACTGAATAATTGGACTGACTCAGAAGCATCCAATTTGATCTGATTATCCAAACCAAATCAACAATACAATCGGGAAGGTTGATTCACTTTGGAGATTTGCTCAAAATGCCTTCAGGTTGACTCTCAGTAGTGAATCTTCATGTCCAATAATACTAAGTTAATAAGAATATGCTGCTTTTCTTAAACCGTAAGTCCAAGATTGCCAATTCTCCTTGCCAATGGTTCTGAGTTGGTTCTGATTCCATTAAGAGGTATTTCATAGTTGATATCCTTGATTTTTAAAAACCAAAATGAGCCAGACTTGTTTGAAAACAAATCCAACAAGTCTTCCAATGAACTGAACATTGCATGTAACACTAATTTGACTTCCTACAGCCCATGAGATAGTAGAAAGTACGCTGGCATTGTTTGCTTTAGTACTGAGGTCTTAGTGGGGCTATTGCTCCAGGTTTAATACAGGAAGGTAAGTTTTGGCAGATGGCTAGGTTTATGGGCTTACCTATCTATAGGAACCTGATCAGTAGGGTGAGTTGAGGCTCCATTTCTTGGTAACACAGAGAAGGCTCTCCTTTCCTATATTCATATATATATATATATATATATATATATATATATATATATATATATATATATATATATATATATATATATATATATATACTCTATATATTCTTTAGGAATATATCCAATATTCCTAAGAAGCCCTCACCCACCACAAGCATGGTCCACTGATTGCTTCTCACACACTCATTTTCGCTTTGCCCTTCTTGCATTGCTGCTTATTCACTCATCCACTTGAACTAGAAGATCTCCAAGCTCCCTTCCAACCCAATTATTATATGTTCTATATATTCTATTCCAGCGGTTCTCAACCTGTGGGTCACGACCCCATTTGGAGTCGAACGACCATTTCACGGGGGTTGCCAAACAACCCAGTCCGCCAATTTTTTTCCCCTTTTCCTTAGTTGTGCTACTCCCTCTTATTCTATTGGCTTTTGAAAGCCAATAGAATAGACTCTATTCAAGAGACTCTATTCTATTGGCGTTAGAAAGCCAATAGAATCTATTGGCTTTCAAAAGCCAATAGAATAGACTCTCTTGAATAGAGACTAATTCTATTGGCTTTCAAAAGCCAATAGGAATTGTCCAGGCTGTCTCTGCCCTGCTGAGCCTGCCAAAAATTCCAGTCTGCAAAAGGTGCTGCAAGTTGTCTGCAGCTAAGGCGAGCTTTCTGGACGTTTCCATCCCTCCCTGCTGAGCAACTACTAAATGTAAGTAAAAGAGGGCCAGGGGTGGGAGGTGGGAGGCCAGCGGGCACAGGAAGGGTTGCTGGCACGTGTGGGGCCCGGCATGCACTCTCGGCCTGCCCAGCGTGCGCTCCAGCCACAGGAGAGGAGGCGGAGCGTGCGCGCCTCCTCCTGCCCTGCCCGCAGGGAAATACAGGTAGTCCTCGACTTACGACCACATGGTTGGGGGTCGCGGCATTAGGAAGGTTGAGAACTACTGTTCTATTCAATCTGTTTTTTTCCTTTCTCTCTCTCTCTCTTCTTTCCTGCTTTCTGATTCTCTTGCTAGCTTGCTCTTATACTCACTCAGGCATTTTTGCACACTCTCTCTTGTGCTCTTTCACATTGTTTCATACCTATATTTACTCTCGTGCACCATCGTTTCTGCAGGCAGTTACAACCATGCAACTGAATGACTGTTTAAAAAACGGTGGGGCTTTGATCACATGCTTATGGCTACCATCTTTGCTTTTTGAAGTTTTTTGCTCTCTTGTACTTGCAGTTTTGCTCATGTTGCCCGTTCTATCTCACACTCTCAAACACCGTATTCCTCATTTTCCTTAAAACAGCTGACAGGCCTAGGCAGCTGAACTCCCCCCCCCCCCACATCTCTGGCCAGGCCACTTTTAGCACTGAAGCGCCTCTTCTCCACTGCTTCTACTGCCAGAACAGCAAAAACAAAACAAAAAAACACCTACAGCTCCCATCACTTTCCAAAAGAGGACAAGTAGCAAAAGGCTTGCATTACTTCAGGTTTATATATGTGGCCTAGAAATAGAGAACTTTTTGATGGAATCATTCAGTAAATGAGAAGATGCATTGTTGAGCCCTCTCTTCTCTTCAGGAGATTAAACCCCGTAGCAATAACAAGGGTAGGATCTAGTAAAAGCTGGGTACCTCTCTGCTACATTACTACAACCATTGCCAAAGTGTGAGAAATCACGTTTTGTGTCAGAAAAAAAAGATGGGAATGGCCACTTTAATATCAAATAAACTAAATATGGTTAGGGGGCCTTAGTTATGGCAGGATGATACAAAGGCAATATCATGGGGACATGTCCATAAGACAGTGCTTCCCAAACTTAAGTAAATTGCCCAAAATTGGGTAAAAGTGTTTTTTCCTTAACAACATACGAGTTCATTACTCATCACAACAGGGACGTTTAAATTGACTTAAACATTGCCTCGTGTACTGAACTATACTAAAAAAAAAAAAATCTCCCAAAGTATTCTAAGGTATTTATCCAAAGATGAAAATCGGCAAAATTACCAATGGTAATTGATTGACATGACGTAATGATCATTCAATGATATTGTTTTTATAATACACAAGTAGTCCTTGAATTATGATCATTCGTTCAGGGGCCAAAGTTATGACCATTCAAAGTTATATTGAAGAACAGGATTTTACAACCAGTTCTCAAAATTTGGTAAGACTTTCTGATAAGCAGTTTTGGGCGATAATGTTTGGGAAGCATTGCAATAAGGAATCCACAAGCTGCAACTGGGAAACTGTGGAGATGATGCTCAGATTGATGTCTCATCCATCTCAACCAGGATAGGGAGCAGACTCATTAATGCTGCCACAACCCTGAAAAGTTCCTATTGTCAACCCTGAAGGGTCTCCAAGGAGGCGGAGATTGCCAGTCATGGTACCTTTTTATTTTTCCTTAGGTTTCCTAATCTTCAAGACAGAGATCTCAGATCTCAAACCTATCTCAGGTGTGTCAACAACAGGATATGGAGAAAAAAGCCCAGATAGCATCCACAAGCACGCAACAGAAGTGCCACCTTTTGGGGTTTTTTTCCACGTGCAATGCACACTGAGCCGTGATGGTGCAGTGGTTAGAATGCAGCATTAAAGGCTGACTCTGCCCACTGCCAGAAGTTTAATCCTGACTGGTTCAAGGTTGACTCAGCCTTCCATCCTTCCAAGGTCAGTAAAATGAGGACGCAGATTGTTAGGGGCAATATGTTGACTCTGTAAACTGCTTACAGAAGGCTGTAAAGCACTGTGAAGTGGTATATAAGTCTAAGTGCTATTGCTATAAACAAATGGAGATTCACACATTCGCATGCCACAGCCCCTCTTCTTAACTTTTCACCATATATTGAAGATATCTCTGCCTTCTGTGAGAGGAACATACTCTCAAGTCAGTGTCTATTGAATTGCAGCTTTAGTTGAAAGGCATCTCTCTCTCTCTCTCCCTCCCTCCCTCCCTCCCTCCCTCCCTCTCACATGCACAGTCTCATAAAATTTAATTGAAGGGGAAGTGATGGGTTTTCTCTCCGAGTTCTCCCCCAGTTTCCAAGGTTGCAACCACTGACCCGCTTTATTTTCAGAGGCGGCCTCTGAAAGTTCAGGCATAGCTGGAAAGGAAGATTATGTTTGAGGTTTTGCTTTGCAACAGGCTGGCTTCCCATTGTGTTTTTAATTAGAAGAATTTGAAAACATTACAGATCAACTAGGTAGCCTAGTGGGCATAGGGGCTACCCAGGAAATATAACAGCTTCAACATTATCCAGTGCAAGAGAAATCTTTCCTTTCTCCTCCCATTTCCCCAATACAGTCAGTGGCTAAATATGTATCACATGGAGGAATCATTTAACTAACCAGCTTCGTAAGCCTTGAAAATAATCTTAAAAAAAAAAAAAAAAACCTCCCAAAACTGGATTAAAATGGGGAGAGAAACAAAGTAGAGGCAAATGGGAAGGGGCATGGCTCTTGTTCCTCTTCCTCTCCACCCTGGTACGTTGGACCAGCTGCGTCGGACTACAATTCCCAGGAGCTTCACTTCTCGTGGGAGTTGTAGTCCAATGTACAAGCCTTTCTTCCTTACGGTCGCCTCTCCCTGCAGAGGCGCTCGAGAGGCGCGAGGGCTCCGCCAGGGGGCGCTCTGGCCCTCGACGCGCTTCACCGCGTCTCCGGGGGCCGACGGGGGGAGACGGTGGGGCTGGCGGGGAGCAGCAGCTTGGCGACGGGGGACTCGTCTTCTTGCCCTTCCTCCTTCCCGGGTAATTCCCCCGAGGAGACGGCGGAGTCCTGCTCAGGCTCCTGGTTGCCCCCGACGCCCCCTGCGCCCCCTCGCTTCTTATCCTCCTCCTTCTTCCATTTCATCCTCCGGTTCTGGAACCAGATCTTAATATGCCTTTCGGTCAAGTTCAGCATGACGGCCAGCTCCACCCGGCGCGGCCTGGAGATGTACTTGTTGAAGAGGAACTCCTTCTCCAGCTCCAGCAGCTGCGCCCTCGTGTAGGCTGTCCGGGTCCTCTTGTTCTCCTCCGGTTCCACCACGTAGGAGCCACCTAAGGGAGAACGAGAGTCAGACGTCGCCGGGGTGCGAGAGCGCGGGGTGCATCTTAAGGACTAGAAACCTGAGACCAATATGGGAAACGCCCCGAGCCTTAGCTGCTGTTTGTTTGTAATCGTTTGGGAAGAAAAAAATGCCCTCACACGAGGAGCGCTCTATAAGTCACAAAGAGGAGCTGTCTGCCGACTGATTAAGCGTAGCTCTGTGCACCATATAGCTAACCTCGACTGATCATGAAAAACTAAGTAGGGTCAGTATTTGGATAGCATACCATCAGGAAACCTAAGCGGAAGAATAGACTGGGAAACCGGGGAAAAAACCCGCTTTTGTAACGTTACCAAGAAAACTGTACAGAGGCATTCATGGAGGCATCAGGAGCTAAACTAGACTTAAGATATTTAGCCTTTGGGAGAACAGAACTGAATCTATTAGGCCAGGGTAGGAAACCTTGACTCTTTTATGACTCGTGGACTTCAACTACCAGAATTCCTGAGCCAGCATGGCTCAGCTTGGAAACTCTCCCTTTCCCCTCAGTATGGCTGGGCTCAGGAATTCTGGGAGTTGAAGTCCACGAGTCACAAAAGAGCCAAGGTTGCCTACCCCTGTATTAGGCCATCTAAAATGGCTATCTGTTACAATTAGATTTTATTTATATCAGAAGAAGGTAACTTGTTCCCTGAATAAAATTCCTTCTTGCTGGATAAAAGTAAGATCCACTCCTAATTACTTGGCATTTTTCCTCAACAGAAAATACCCTGGTATTTGGGCAGCTGCTTCAATTAGCTCTATATCTATTTGTGAGAAAGGAATAGAGGGGGGAATTGTTATTTGCTTAAAATGCACCCTCACCCTTCAGAAATGGAATTATCTGAGTTTAGTTGCTGCACAGAACTCCTTTCAAATCAAGAAGATTCAAGATACAATGCATTCTCCTCTTGCAAAGAAATGTGGAATTAGGGAGGGCTTCTCTGTATGGTATCAGCAACCATCTCCCTTCCCATCCCACCTTTCCAATTTCAGAGTTTTTTTTTTTTTCTGAGAGTGGGAAAGGTACACTGGTGCTGGTAACCGGTTCTATATTAAATATTTCCTATCTTGGATTTCTATGGACATCGTTGACTTTCATCCTGAACTGTTATGCTTTGAAGTGTTCTTGGTCTGAATAGTTTCTGCTTGCTTCTTTACCCTGGAAACACCTCTTCTCCTTCTCTTCCTCCTCCTCCTTCTCCAATTCCCCTCCTCCTTCTCTCCTTCCCTTCTTTTCCCTCCATCTCCCACTCATCCACCTTCCCTTCACACCTATTATTCCATCCTCTTCTGCCCTGCCCATTCAGTAGAATTCTCTCCACCTCAGTTTCTTACACCAAACTCCATTAGAACCAAAGTTTTCAAAATATTTCTCATCTAGGATTTCTTGGAGAGTCTTCCTGTTCAAGTAAAGTAACAAGGGATTCTTCCTATTTCAAGCCTTCCCTTGTTCTCCATTTGAGAAGACTAATGGCATTTAGTCTCTAGGCATGTGAAATGGATGTATTGCTATAAACAATCTGCATTTGCCTGGTCTCCTGGGTTAATTAATGAAGAAACACAACAAGGATGGGAGGCAGTGAGGTGGTGTTTGCATGATGCCCAGAGTTTAAACACTATGTCATTTCCCCCCTCCTGTACAGTTCAATTCAAGTTCATTTCTGATTCAATCTAATTCAAGTTCCTTTCTCTCAGAGACTACCTGGATCAAATATGTCCCTGCAGTTTTCCTGGCAAGATTTTTCAGAAGTGGAAAATCTTCTTCCTAAGACTGAGAGAGACTGACTGGTCCAAGGTTACTCAATTGGCTTTGTTCCTATGGTGGAACCAGAACTCACAGTCTCCTGGGTTTTAGCTGATGTCTTTAGCTGGCTCTCATATATGTTATTAAAACATAATGAGGAAAGTGTGTGTTCCTCTTCAAAGAGACAAATTATGTAGCTGCAGTGAAACAGTAGACTAGAGGACATGCCGAGATTCAATCGCCCAGAGCTCACGTTTCTCAGGACTCATTACCTTATTTGCTGATCGGAGGCAGCCCATAAAACATTTTTTTTATAAAAGATTTGTTGTCCTTTCATATTACACCTGAGATAAAAGCACGTGCTTCACGTTCTCCTTTGGATACAATTTTGACATTGTGCTTAACCTTGGCTTGGAGACCACATTCATATAACCACCTCAATGACAAACCAGGACCACAGTAGTTTATAACAGCTAGTTGCCTTCATACAGCCTTGCAGAAAACGAAACCATCTGCTAGCTGTATTTCGGGCTGTCTATAATCTGGTTTCACCTCAATTGAATAGGAAGAAGCAAAACGAATACAGAGTAAAAGAAACTTCTCTAAACTGAGTAGGATGGGGGAGAGGTTATTTATTTTAAGAATTCAAGGGCTTATATCCGGGAAAATCTGCATAGAATTTCTTAGTACAAAGCCAAACCGAACCACAACTATAATTAAAAATGCATCATGCCATTCATGAAATCCTTTTGTAATTAAAACCAATTTTTTTTTCCAATTTCGCCCTTTATTTTAACATTTAAAGCCTCTTTCTCCTGATCTTTTTGTGTCTAACCGCCCCTTTCTCTCTGCCTTTCTCTGCAAAAAAGGTGCACCGCTATTCAACATCCCCCTGTTGTAGTAGGACGGTGACAGAGCTTTCCAGTTTGGCACGCATATATATTTGAATGGATTCGACAAGCGGAGCACTTAAGAATCTTATCGCGCCCTGGAAGCCATCAGATTTATTCTGGCAAAAAGTTTCAGGGTCTTGAAGAGCGCGCATTGTCGCTTTGCGGTTACAATGCGGAGGGGCGCGTATCCTAACAAACTTGGTTGGTTGGCTTTGTAACAACAGATTACAGTACTACGAAGGCAAAAATAATATTTGCCCCCAGAACAACCCATCGGGGGGGGGTCCACATCTGGGCTTTTTTTTTTTGCGCCTATTTTCCCCTTTATTTTTTTTCCCTTTGAGGTTTTTCTACCAAAGTCCTGCAAACGAAGGGCAAAGTGACCTTAGAAGTTCTCCTGTCCGCTACGCATCTTTATGTTCGTCTGCCCCGGAGCAATACCCGCTGAATTTAATGGGACTTACACCCTAAGGCAGTGTTTCCCAAACTTGACAATTTTAAGGCATGTGGACTTCAACTCCCAGAATTCCACAGCCAGCGTTGCTGGCTGTGGAATTCTGGGAGTTGAAGTCCACATGCCTTAAAATTGTCAAGTTTGGGAAACACTGCCCTAAGTGAAGGGCGGCAGCCTTCGGCTTGGGGCTCTTCAGAGTGCGTTCTCAGTGCCGCGGCGATCGCAAACCAACGGAGTTAACCAAAATGGATTTTATTTATCGCGACAATAGATTTCCTCCAGTGTCACCCCCAAAATTCTCCAGCGTTTAAACGGCGGCCAATAAACAGGCGAGCAAGGGAACGAAAAAGGGCCGGCGAGCCTGACTTTCATCCTTAAGCGTGTATCTGATGACTTAGTAAGGAAGACCGGTTGGTCCTATTGAGTGCAAAGAAGGGGGTCGCGGAGGAGGCCTTCTCCGTGGTGGCCTCGCACTTCGGAGTAGCCTGGCCGCTCCCAGGCTTTGCGCCACGGCCCCTTCCCAGGCATCGCTTCCAAACGCAGCGCAGACCCTGCTTGAAGCGATCCCGCCAAAGAGGGAGGCTTTTTTTTTCCTTATTGGGCGACTACAACGATGTGAATAGATACAGATATTGCGCGGCTTGAGTTTAATTAAACCGCTCAGAATAAGGATGAATAAACAAATCGCTGTTCCTCAGAAAGTTGCGATTGCTTCACGCTTTTTCTCCAACGCGACTAGTAACTTGAAGTTCTTCTTCACACTATTTCTCCAGTTCGGCTAGTAACTTGAAACAGTTGCAATTATTCTGGTCCTGACAGACAGCTTGATGCTGTTATGAATTCACACGCTAGTCTACATTTTAAAGTTTTCTGTCCCATTGGAATAACGGGACGTAAAAATTAAACACTTGTCGGTTTGAATTTAAGCCGCTAAATTTAAAAAGAATTCGATTTTTTTTTAAAAAAAAAATATATATGCCATACGCTGACCAAAATAATGCGGAAAACAACCATGTGCCAATAATTCAACATAATATATAAATATAATATTTTTTTTCAGTCAACAATTTTCAAGAAAATATCTATTGATAATTTATAGGTTTCAAAAACTTTTGAGTATTAGTTGGGATATTTATGGTGGAACAAGTTTATAGCCTATAAACAAAGCTTATTCATAAAATTAGAGGTCCAACACATTTTCTTTTAAAACATTATCCTACGGTGGAGCTCTCGTTTACATAAGTGAATTCAAGAGTAGGAATTTTTAGAAAACATTTTCTTATAAAGATGTTAAAATCGTCCCAATACATGATATAGTCTAGTGCAAGAAAAACACACATATTCTTCCATCGTCAAATTAAATATGAACTGATTGTCAACTTAACGTTGGACATACAATTGAGGCAGAAAGATTAACAGAACTTGAGGAAGTAAATTGATGGACAAATTATTGGTCATAAAACAGTAAGATTGTGCACCAAAATATTGGGATTTGCTTGTTTACTAAATTTCTATCCCACCTTTCATTCGTAAACTTGGGGAGGCTTACAAAGAGTTCTCTCCTCCTATTTTCATCCACAACAATCACACTACAAGGAAGGTTGGATTGAAAGAATAGGATTGACCAAAGTGACCCCACAAATTTCTGTTCTCCAGTATAAGGGAAGCTCCAGGTCTTTCAGATTCTAATCTAACAACTGAACTGACTCGCCCACATTGTCTCTCCTTGAGATGAATTAACTTCTCATAAAAGCAGAGTTGAATGTTTTTAAGTGCAAATTAGTGGCTGGTTAGTTACTGGAATGATCATATATTTGTGGCAATGGAAAATATAACCGCTCGTTTGTAATTTACTGCTTCCTATTGGAAATACTGATATAAATACACTGTAACCTTGATTAAAATGGAGAGATAAAACAGGCTGCCCCTTATGTGCTTGTCCAGATCCACCACCTTTAAAACCGCATGAAGCATTTGATTTAGATAGGTCAGGAATTCATTATATGACAAAATGCCTCTGCTACCTGGAAAATGATCCAGCACCAAGCTAGCCCGACCTTGCTGGATTAAATTGGTGCCAATTTTTTAAATATATCTTTATTAAATTTCAGAGTCAAACATTAAAATACAAACTAACATAGAAGGAAAAAGAGAAGGAAAATAATAAAAAGAAAGAAAGTGACAAAAATATAGAGCAAGCATATTATGTACCTTGACTTAGGTTAGATACTGCATGGAAAACACTTCATTAATATTCTGAGATTCTGTGCCTGACCAACACTGGGTTGTAAATTGGAAGTGATTTTAAAAATCACTTTTTGCAAAACGTAATTGAACAGACTGATCTTTGTATATTTTAAAATCAATTACAAAATTGTTTAAAATCCTGTTAATCAAGGTTTATTTGCCAAATTTGCAAATCAGTTTATTTCAGTGACTCTTTTGCTTCATCTGGCTCCTGTCTAGTCTTCTGAGACTAGTCTGTCGTTCTTACTTCCTAGGACATCTGACTTTCAGAATCTGGTGTCTTTCAGATATTTTGCAGCATAACTCCCATTAGTCCACAAGGTAACAAACTCAGGAAGAATGGCCAATGTAGTTGTAAACACCTGAAAAGCAGGCAGCTGAGAAAGACTCCCTCAGTGGCTGACAGACCCTTTGCCACCACAGTTCAGTAACAGATTTTGTTTAGGCAAATACAGTCACTCAACATTGCAGCACTAACAAACTAATTATCTAACATTTTGGAAGGAAACAAATCCCTATGAATTCAGAAAGTAGTTAATTAAAGCTGAAGTCCTAGATACAGTTTCCTTTGAGTAAGCCTCTGAACAGGCATCCTTTCTGTAAATGGGATTCAAGAATGAGCAGGATTTATTAAAGCTTCCACCCTTAATTGAATGCTGTCTGGGGAATTCTGGGAATGGCAGTCTATGCGTCTTTGAAGCTGCCAAGTTTGAAAAACACTACTCTACATTAATTCTCATCTTGGGAAGCAGGGATGATATCTTCTGTTGTAAACTTCACTGATTAGCTAATAATGCAAGTCATATTTCCCTGAAATGTTCATTGGTAAATGTCAGCGTTGGTTTTCTTGCAGCTCCCGTACCTGCCTGTTTTCAATTTGCAACTTTTTATTGCAGTTTTTTTTAATGATAGTTTCATGAAAGCTTCAGTACGATAGTGTTAACTGTTGTAAATATTCTCAAGTAATGGTGATGCATGCACATATGGACATATACCCATAAACATATTATTAAGAGGATTTAGTCATCAGTAATGCATCCTGTACAGTATATAGATTTTGGCTTTAAAAAGATATATCGATTCTTTGCATGAATTGTTAATTGACTGTTTCAATTGCCCCCCCCCAAAAAAAACCCCAGGGAGGAACATTTATTTATTTAAGAGTTGGCTGGATTGCACCATACATTTTGGATCTTGTAGGTGGTCACTCACACCCTGAACACCTCACAATGGGATGGCTGCAATGCACTCTACATGGGACTGCCCTTGAAGACTATCAGGAAACTATGGTTGACATAATGTAGTGAATAAGCAATAATGGGTACTTTTCATCATGCCCATGTGTCACTACTGCCATTTGGCTTCTGGACACAATTCAAGGTGCTGATTAAAATTCTTCATGTCATGCAGCCCAGTTATCTGCCTTTATTACTACCTATATGGGTACTTTTAGACAGAGTGGGTGCACTCCCACTCTCTTCTATTAAATACTGCAATCTTGCAGGATCTAGGAAGCATGCCTTCTCACTGTGTGTGTGTGTCTCCATCCTCTGGACCAGCTTCCCTCTAGAGATACAGATGGTGCCCTTTTTCTAGGATTCTGAAAAATCCTTAAATCCTGGCTTTGGTCTCAGACCTGGGCTTATGTGTTGGAGGAATGTGTGTGTGTGCCTGCCTGCACACAGGTGCAAGATGCTTTTTTTGTTTTTGTTTTTTGTTATTATGTTTTTATTTTTAGTTATTAATTATTATTTTAATCCAGCTTTTGTTTCATTTTGTTTATGTTTTTAATTATTTAAATTAGCAATATATTTTGTAAGCCATACGGAGTCTATTGGAGTGAGCAACTGTATCAGATCTAAATTATTGTTTTAATTGTTTTGTTTCCAGATTCATGAAATGAGAAGCTAACCTGTGAAACAAATACCCAGAACAATTTAAAACACACCACCCTGTGTTTGCCTGGTTTACATGAAAATGCTTTTGAAATTCTTTCAAAATGTAAGACTAATTTGTTTTTATATCCTCTTGTCCCACGTTAGCTATATGTAAATACTCCAAAGGTATTTGAGTATTTAGCCAATATCTCATGGCTAACATTTTTAGAGGAAAAATGTCATGGGGGAAAAAAACAATTTGGGTCTAAAAGAATCATCAAATATAATCATTTTAATTTTGCTTCTTTCAGAATAAACCTGACATGACTTTGGAATCTCCCATTATACCATTGTGTGTTGGAAAAATAAACAGGGAGGAAATTAAAAACTTGTTTATTATATGGACTGTAGCTTGGAATCTGGTTGAGCAAAACGTGAGCCTAGGAGCTCATTTAATGAAGTTACTTAAATCCTGGCCCTTAGATATAAAAGGAGATATAAAAGCATGCATTTTTCTCAAACCAAGTCTCAATAAGGAGAATCAATTATCACACTTCCCCCCCCCCCCGCAAGAAATTAGATTTTAAAATGTTGTTGTTGTTTTAAACCATTAAGTTGTTTCTGACTCTTGGTGACTTTATAGGCAAATGCTCTCCAAATGCAGCTTCTTTCAATTGTTGTATGTTCAACTTTGCATCAGATTTGATATTATCAAGTCAGCAAGTTCTTTGCTAGCCCCCTCCTCTTTGTCCACTAACCGTTCCTAGCACCATTGCCTTCTCCGATGAATTTGAAGGCATCGCATGGCCAACGTAGTCTTATTTAGGCAGTTTTTAAAATATAGTGGATAAAATGAGATGATTAAGGCACCGTTGACAGACTGCACGCATTAGGCACCATCCAGTGAAAATAATCCAGCTCAGGTTCAATGAAATGAACGGGAAGCTAGCAAGAATGCTCTGATTCGGCTCTCATTCCTTTCAATGGGGTTTGTCCCCAGCAATGTTTTAAGCTTTAATTGTCTTTAATAAGTTGTTTCAGAATAAAACTCCAGTATAAACCTTCATCCACACGGATGCAAAATTGAATACTCTTGAGAGAGCGGGGAGAATTATTTCTGAATAAGGCAAATGAAAATGTCTCACAGATTTTGAGGGGAAACATTGCCAGAAAAATGTTCCAGTGGGGGAAAAGGAGATTTGACGAAGCCAAAGACCTAAAAACTTTTCTTTCAGGAGGAAAAATTGGTGTTGGTTATATTTCAATGGTACTGGCTTCATGCACTGGAAAATGCACGCACTTCTCTGATTCTAAACCCTCTTACTCTCTTATTTTAATTTTTTCTACATTTTTCTTCCTTGCTACTGCAGATCAAGCTTTCTAGCCTACTTATAAATAAAGATCCATTGAAATCAGTAGGACGCAGTCTTGGAAGGGCAGTGTACTGCAGTCAGAGACTCAGTGGGATTTTTTTACAACGGGACTTACTTTTGCGTAGCTATACCTAGTTGCAAACTACCACTATTCAAAAAGAAATTATATTAATTATATTTTGAAATTATGGATTATATTCTATTTACTAGGAATTTATTTCTAGTTAATCATCCTTAGTACATTGTCTCTTACAGTAAATCCAACTATGTAGGAAATTTAAGGCATCTCACAAAATCCTCTTCAGTCCACAAAAGTTTTTTTTAAAAGTTATGTTATGTATAGTTTATTGCATTTCAGTTTATGTATTTAAAAATAACACTACTGTTCACATAAAACACATGTTGTACGACTTAAAACTATATAAACAGGCCCACATACACACTTAAATTTAGTCTATTTGTTATTTTTCAGTATTTTTGCTTTTTGAGGAAACAGAATTTCTCCCCCCCAACTGAGACCTTATGCACTGGAGACAAATTCCTTGCGTGTCCAATCACACTTGGCCAATAAAGAACTATTCTTATTCTATTCTTATTCTATTCCTATTCCTTATTCTATTCCTATTCTATTCTATTCCTATTCCTTATTCTATTCGTATTCCTATTCTATTCCTATTCCTTATTCTATTCCTATTCTATTCTGTTCTGTTCTATTCTATTCCTATTCCTAATTCTATTCCTATTCCTATTCCTAATTCTATTCTATTCTATTCTATTCTATTCTATTCTATTCTATTCTATTCTATTCTATTCTATTCTATTCGGGTTCCTAACTGAACGGGCCACAGGCGAGAGTAAGTCTGCCCGAACGGTTTCTCCCAGCTAAGAAAACGCAGGCATCCCCCTCCCGCCCCTGTGTCTCCTATCTGTTCTTACAAAGCCCTTAATGCAATATTTGCCCAAAGGCGTGACCCACTGAGCGCAGGGCGCGATAACATTGTGCGGCAGGAGACCGATCCGCTCTTCCCCCCAACTGCCCTTCCTGGCGTTTGGCTCAGTCTCCCCGGATCGGAAAAGCCAGGCAACTCCCCCGGCTGCCCAGGAGGCGAGGCCCTGACAGCCCAAGCAGCCCCGAGTCTTGCTTGCGCTGTTCTCGGGGCCAACGCTCGTCCCGGGTCAGGCCGGTTCTGCCGGCCAGCAGCGGCGCTTCTCGGCCGCGTTTGAAGAGTCCGGTTCCTTCCGGAGAACTGAAAGGAGATGATGTCAGAAAGGGCGCCGCTCGCTTCTAGCGCCGAGGGAAGAGAAAAGGCTTGGCCGTCTGTTACCCCAAGGCGGTTTCCAGATATGGACGCTCCTGGCCTCTGGGCCTTAATTCCAAAAGAAGCTGAGCGGTTTATTTGGAGGTCACTCACACTGGAAAGGAGGGACTGAGGTCCACGAAAGCTTGTGATGCTTTGCAATGTGTGCGACAACCGCCTTTCCGGTGCCACGAGTGTTTCTGAAGACAAAAAGTACCGTTGCTGTCTCTGCTGGGCCTTCTCGGATGGACACCAGGACCTTCATTAGCTAAGCAGCTCTGCTTTGGATTATGGTTGGGTTTCCTGGTGGATCCCACGAGGCCTTCTTAAAAGCAACTGACGCCGCGTAACGGCGCATTTCCACGTACTTTTCGCTGAACTTTAAATAAACTGCAATCCAGTTGAATTATTAGGAAGGAGAAGCCCTTGGAGGACATAATGGGATTAATTGCAAAAGTGTGTTGTTTGGTTTCATTTTAAGGACATTTCTTCCATGAATGAAAGTTTAAAAAGTTCAGGTCAATTCCACTTTCAGAACTTTTATGAAAAACCCAAAACTCCAAGCTGCCAGCTTCTTAAAATAGATCCAGGGATTTCCACTGGATTTAAATGGGTCTATTCCTAGATGGATGGGTTGGAGGATAAGATGCCAAGGCCTTGACAGAACTTCTGATCCTATCAATGCTGATCCTAATTCAATTTTGGTTAAATAGACATTAATAACTGATGCTTCGGTAGGCATAAAAATCCTTATTAGCTTCCAAACCGCTCAGTCCGAAGAAGACTGGCATCTGTGTTCAAAGAAGGGCCAGTTAGAGCTTCTCACTTGTCCTTTTCTGAAATCTTACTAGAGTATACAACATGTGTTTGCACATGAAATTTCATGGATCCTGTTGAAACTTCTTTTATTATTTCTCATTGAATGCAGACATGTGTATATGTACGTTTTTTTAGAAGCTGAAACAGGTCATTGTAATTTTCATGCAAATAAATTTGGAATCAGCACTCAACATTTCTTCTAAGCATAGATTCATAGACCGTCTTATCTGTCTGCTATAGTTCTACAACTATATTGCAGCAGGATTCAATGGTAAATTGGTGCCTGCAGCTTTGTCACTTTGCACTACATTGAATTTGCCCCTAAAAGATATAGACGGGCCTTTATCCATTAACACAAAACAAGGGAAATAAATGCACTAGGTTTATAATCCAGACTCTTCTGTCAACAGTGCAAACTTTTAATATTTGCAATGTCAGCTCCATGTATTTAAGAGGGTTATTCCTTGGCAAACATGTTAAGGACTCTTAATCAGTCTGCCCGATTTCTGTGACAGTCTTCACAAAATCCAGGCGCAACCTTCATTAGTTTCAGGTAAAATCAATACAAAGTCTCTCTCCAAAGCAACCTCCATGTTTTGGTCATAACGGCAGCCCTGAGAAGATCTTGGTTTGGAGCAGCAGCTCAGTCCGATCTTCTGCAGAGGTAATGAACCGGGTTCTACTAAGCTCTCTTCCCCTGGCTGGGGCAAGAGTCAATTCTGCCCTGCCTCATATAGTCGCTTTTTACTAGGTTGCAATCCAAAGGCAGCCAGGGAAACGGCCTTGCCAGCCAGCCTTCCTATTTGTCCCTCATTTCTGCTGCAAAAGTGGATCCCTCGGCATTGTCCTTTTTCCTGGACAGGTAGCAAATTTGATTCACATTTTTGGACAGCAAAAACTACATGAGAAAACCTCATCATTTTCTTTCCCCACCCTCGATGTGTTTTTATCAGCACAATCAATTAAAGCAAATTCCTTGGAGTCACTGACAGCTAAAAACCATTCCGATTCTTGGAATGGAATACACTGATTCAATGTTTCTTTAAAAACTGCAAAAGTTGTTTTAAAATCAAAATATAGCGTCATGAATATCACACCCAGCACTCTTAAAGACAGAGTTTAAAACTGAATTTCCCCACGCTGAAAAATTTAATATTCCCAAGTCTATGTAATTAACATGTAATCCTTTCAAAGAGGTACAGTACTTTAAAATACAGGAGAATAACATATGGTATATTCTTATAATCCTTTTCTTTTTTAAAAAAATTAAAACGTGTGAGCAAGTGCCCAGGTACAGAGCAAATATCTTACAGAACTATTTTAAAGTCATATCCCCCAATGAATTGCAAATAAAAAGGACTGGAGCAGGTCTCCACAAACTTCAATCAAAGACTCTTTTACAGATGCATCCCAAACAAGTGTGATATGAACACAAATATAGACCAAGGGCAAATTTAATATGAGAGTCAACTCCAGGCTTCTAATGCAAACTCAACAGTTCATTAGTAATCTCCTTCACTATGCTATTACTTACATATAATATAATATAATCAGTTATAATCTTGCCAGCCTCATTTATTCCTTCCAAAGTCTTAATTCACATTGCAGTAAATGAACATTCAGGACATTCACAAGATATTTTTAAAGGATTTACAAATAAATATGTGAACTACACTTCCGTTCATCAGATGCCACTGAAGGTGAACTGCGGGCCCCACAAAACCTATATGATAATAAATACGCCAGTTATTATGACATATCTGATTCCTTATTTATTAATTGGGCTCCTATGGTGCTTTGTAGGACTAAACATATCCACGAAAGTAAGGCTTAATGTGGCCCAGTCTTTTTCCAAAAGCCTTTATTCTGGAAAGACAAAGTCACCGTGGGCTGTTGGAGTTTAGGATTCCACTTATCTTAAACATGGATACTCAAAAATAAGTGTCACTGTGTTTATTCAGGCTGATATTTCTGCAGCACTGATAATTAAGAGTGCAGGATTTCCCTCCTCTCTTTCTAACTGCATCAGAGAAGGGAAAGGTGCTGCCATTTTGATAAATGCCCGAATAAAACTTTTGAGAGACAAAATGGATAATAACGACAATGATGGTGGTGCACATTCTCTGCTTTCAATAGCTCCCTGCAAAAAAAATCAGACTGTTCTCTATATAAAGTGTCTTTCCAGTTTCAACCAGGAAATAGAAAGCCTCATTCTGTGAAGCAGGACAGGCTGAAATTGGGGTACAACAGAGCACAGCCCTTCTGTGGGAACCATACAGCAGGCTGAGTTTACCACAATGTGAAAGAAGAGAATTTACTAAGGCAAAGTGTGCAATTTTTACCAGGATGAGTGATGACACCCTTAACACTGGAGTGGCCTGCAGAGTAGTGAATGGGCGCAAAACAAAAACTCCATTATGTTTCTTGAATTAAAACCGCACTACTGTACAATCAAAACAATTACTCCCCGGTCATGAATTTCACTGTTTCTCTTTTCATTCACACCAAAAGGTACACAAGGTCTTTGGGAGTACACTCAAGATTTTCTGAGTGCAAAGGGCTGTGTGGCTTTCAAATGGTGCACCTCTAAATGAATCCTCAAACTTCCATTTAATCTAGAGACTAAGGCTACTTAACAGGGCACTGCTTTAACATTTGAAAGCATGGCAGAGTGCTTTGAAAACAACTACATGACCTTATTTATTTTAGTCTGTTGGCATTCAATGTTTTTGATTTGATAATCTCTAGAAAGTCAATCATTGTTTTATTACATTTCTAGAATATCCCCCTGTTTCAATGCATGCTATTTTAAGTGGCCTAGGGATAGGATTTACTTTTGAGTTAAAAAAAAAAAGATTTATTGCAGGGCAAATCACACAAAGAAAAATACAATGTTGTATTGTGTTACTTTCTATATATGATAGCCTCAATGAATTTAGAGGAAGTTTCTTTTGATCATATTAGCTACGGGGCCAACCTTCTATATAAGTTGTAGCAAAACTCAGTTTCTACAACCACTTTGTCTGGGAATGATGGAAATTGTATTTCAACTCATATGAGAGTTCCAGGACCCTGGATAGGAACTCCAGTGCTCTACATTCAGGCACCATTCATTAAATTTCGGTGGCATTCTGACCTATTCACTCCTGGCTTCAATTTGGGCAATTATCAAGAGCTCATCAGAATCCTTTCAGGATTAACAGGCACAAGAACATACTGTCACCATGGCTGTATTTACACCACAGCCTTACGCTTAAGTGACATTTACCCATAATTTATTCAACCCATTTTCCCAGCTTTGCACATCACACTAAACTATTAACTAATGTCTAAGACTGGCTTTGCAGAGACACTTTAACATTAAGTTAAAGCATGGCTGGATTTGTTTTTTTTTTTTTTTTTAAATGGTGATTCACCAACTCCATCCAACGAGAAAGCCCTCTTTCTTGATTGGCCAGCTTTTTTGAACTGGGCGCTCTCCGGATATGCTGGACTACAATCGTTTTTCTCCTCAATCAGCAGCCCAGGCACTGACTGAGGATGATGAAAACTGTAGTCCATGCTATCCGAAGGAGCCTCCGGGTTGGAGATGGCTAAGGGCTGGTCCTCGCAAAAGGCAAGGGAGAGGGACGGAGGAGAGGCGTTCTTCTTCGGCCCTAGGCAGAAAGAAGAGGAAGGCGCCTTACCCGTGCCAGCCCACTGTCCCTTCCACGCGTGAGCCTTGGTCGACTTCATCCAAGGGAAGGGCAGCGGCGCTCTGGGCTGCTCCAGCACCCCGGCCTCGGTCCCTTCTCCGAAGGGAAGGGTCTCCTGCGGCGGTAGAGAGAGCTGAGCGGGATGGTGGGGGGGAAGGGGGTGGAGATGCGGAATGCCCGGTTCTTCTGAGAGGGGCGGCACTTCGTAGGGGGAAATGTCCGGCGGGCTGCCTTGATCCAAGCCTCCCAAAAGACTGGCGTAAGGTGACGGCTGCTGCTGCTGCTGCTGCTGCTGCTGCTGCCGGCCCATGTACAGGCAGGCGGGAGGGCTGCAGTTGTAATCCGGGGGCTGCGATCTCTGGAAGGCGCAGGGCTCCTTGTAGAGCGAGTGGCTGGCGCCGCTGCCGGAGGCGTAATACTGCTCTTCGGCGTTCATGGCGAGCCGGGCCCCGCGAGAAGCTTCCCAGGGCGCAGGCGAGGGGCGCACCTTTGACAGGCTGCTTCACCTGCCCGAGCAGCGGATGGAGTCCCAGGTCCGGGGCATCCCGAGGGGCTTTTCGATTGGTTCGCTGACCGTCCTCGTGAAACGGACCTGGATTTCTATTGGGCGATCCGTTCCCAATCAGAAGGGAGCGCTTCTGATGTTTGGAACTTTGGCGTTTCTTTCGTTTTCTTCCGTAACTAGAGATGGATTTTTCCTTTCCTTTCCTTTCCTTTCCTTTCCTCTTCTCTTCTCTTTTTTTTTAAGCAGGATCCAGTGGCAAAGCTTCCCCCCCCCCCCAGGACCCTGCATGCGGGGCTCCAGCACCACGTGGCTCTGCTCCAGCCTCACCTGAGCCTGCTGAGCAGCAGAGGTCAGTGCAGGAAGCAAGAGACCCCATAAGCTAATAGAAAGTTCACTGCCTCTGTTCATGATTAAAGAGCATTTAACAAACAATTGAAAAATGCCAACTTTCTATACAGGTAATCCTCAATTTATGACCACAATGGAGCCCAAAATTTCTGTTGCTAAGTGAAACATTTCTTAAGTAATTTTTGCCCCATTTTACGACCTTTCTTTCTTTTTTTAAATTTGACAATTTCTAGGAAAAAATAATCTATAAAAAAGCATGAAGTGTGAAAAACTGTTGTACATCACTTTTTCACTGCCTTTGTAACTTTGAACGGTCACTAAACGAACTTGTATTTGAGGATTACCTCTCTCTCTCTCTCTCTCTCTCTCTCTCTCTCTCTCTCTCTCTCTCTCTCTGTTTGTGTGTATATAATTTTTATTAAAACTTTTAACCAAAAATATAAAAAACTAGCAATAATTCATATAAAGTAAGGAAGAATAAAGAAAAAAGAAATCAAATAAAGAACACAATGTGCAAGAATGTGGAAACCTATTCAAAGTGTTTGATGATGATGATTTAATCTATGTTAGTATAAGAGAGGTGTGAGAATTTAGACATTACACCTGAAACCTATTTTTCTTAAATCTACATACTGAATACAGGTAGTCCTTGACTCACAATAGTTGTTTAGTGACCGTTCAAAGTTACAACAGCACTGAAAAAAGCAACAGATGACCTTTTTTCACATTTATAACTGTTGCGGCATCCCTATGGTCGTGTGATTAAAATTCAGATGCTTGGCAAGTGACTCATATTTATGATGTGATCCCCTTTTATGACCTTCTGACAAGCAAAATTCATTGAGGAAGCCAGATTCACTTTACAACTGGGTTACCAACTTAACAATTGGAGTAATTCACTTAACAAATATGGCAAGAAAGATTATAAAATGGGGCAAAATTGACTTAACAAGTGTCTCACAAAGTAACAGAAATTTTGGGCTCAACTGTGGTCATAAGTTGAGGAATACGTATTAACTGTGCAGTTTTAAGAAACCCAATCATTTTTGCTAAACAAGTCTCTATTCTTTTCTTGCCACTGTAAAGTCTCAGAAGTGTATTATGATACAAGATTGCCTGGACTCCTGTCCATCTGAACAAAGTTCACAGATTCTAATCGCTATTATAAATGCTACTGTGCATTGCTGGAAAAAAGATCTACTGCTTTGTATTTTAAAAAAAAAAAGCTAAAACTCAATTTCCAGATAGCAAAACAAACAAACAAAAAAAATCCCAAGAAGAGGGCGGTGGGGGGGGAGTCAAATTATGGAACAGGGCAGGTGGTACTGTTTCTGGCTCAATCAACAAGTGTCCAAGATTGTTGAATTTTAAACCTCAAGCCTGGGAAAAACTGTTGACCCGCATGAATTCTATCAGCCAGAGATTAGAAAGGCCACTGGCTGCTTATCACCTTTTCACAGTTCCTGCAAGCAAGGAAGTTCAGCCTGCAAACAGAACAGGAACATTTCCAAAAACCTTTCACATACGCCATGCTCGGAAATAACGCTGAATGAAAGCAAGAGAAAATGGGAATCGTTTCACTCAGTCAAAGCAAGTTAATTTTTTTTCAACATATTCCATAGCATACAACAGAGACCCTGCTAAGTACTTCTGAAAAGTAACAATCTGTCACATAACAAAGTACTTCAAAATAGATAATATGATGTATATTCAGTATATTGATGTAATCTATAGTAGTATAGTCACTGATTGTGTTAGTAATTAATTAAATTAATGTAGTTGTATATTAATAATATGTATAATGTATAAATAAATTTTATTAAATTAAGTTTTCATTTATTGTATTATTAAGATACAGAACTCTGTTATCACTGGCAAACCATGTGTCATTACACATACTTTCTGTGTGTTATATAGATCTTATATCATGGAGTACACCAGATAGATACTTGCACACAAGCATTTGTGTATACATCTGATATACATATAGGTTCCCCCCATCTTGGTTATAAGAAGGGCTCTGTGGTTCAGGATGAAACTCATCTTGATCCAACACTCTTCTTCCCACACTTGAGTTGCTTGAAATCGGAACGAATGTAGGAATATACCTCTCTCTCAGTTTTGTTCTCTTACAACTGTGTATTTTCAGCTTCCCAGAGTTGTTTGGAGTTGGATGGCATAAAATAAAATAATAAGACAAAAGGCATTTGGAGGCATGCTGTCCCAGTTGGAGATAGGCTGTCCTTCATGAGATTACCCAATATGATTTAAAAATCATTCAATTTAGTGGCCATCAATTCCACCTTTGGGACAATATAAATCCCATGATCATTACTGTTATATTGGCGCAACAATAGTTGCATATTCCTAGAAAATACCAAAAGATACAGAGTGTAAAAATACAGATTGCAGCTAGATGTCAGCAAACAGAAATCCCTTTTTGTTGCCCTCCAAATGATCAACCAGGTTTTTATAATGCTAATCTAATAGATTTTCATATAACAAATCAGCCCAAAATTCTCACTCAAAGGACAAATAAGCAGGCTCAGATTGTTACATTTTGTGAAGATCTAATTTGCTGAAGAACTCTAAAATGCTGGGAAAGGAAGAACAAAAGAGAAGACAACAAGGCAAATTGACTTAATTACAGTGGCAATGAGTGCCCCATTGGAAAACGTATCCTAGGCTGAGGACAGTTTATTCTGGAAACGATCTATTTAGTTGTGAAAAGTCAATACCAAATTAAAATGGTGCATAATCAATCAATCAACTAATCAAATAAATAAACAGTAAAACAATGGAAGTTTCAAAAACAATATATTTTTAAAATGTCATGGGGGCTTCAAAAATCCAGGTAATCACTACATTCAACACTATCAGGATTTATTGCTTTCATCTATTTATCGTACAATTTTTTTATCCCATATCTGATATCCTTACTCTCCATCTAACCTTTAATTCCACCTATACCAACATGAAATGTGCTGCTTCATCCTTGATCTCTTTCCTCCTATTCCTCCAAACTAAATCTGCACAACATGAAGTATGATCAAAATTGTTGGTAGGTGTGTCATTTGAAGTAAGGGCATCATATAAAGAAATAAAAAAAGAAAAAAAAATGGAGGCTTTCCTCGTGGAAGTTTTGCATCAAATTATCAATATTAGCAGACAGTTAATCACCAATAAATCAATGGAAAGACAAATTAGAATATTCTGAAATAGACTACCTGAAGTGATGTCTTCCAGATATGCTGGATTACAATCTTCCTCAGCCACAACCTGCATATTGATTCAATGCTATTACATATTACTCTTCAATGAGCTGTTGTTTTTCATGGAATACCATGCAATACCCTTGCAGGACACAGTAAGGGTTTCTCCAGCATCGCTATCCTGGTATATATTATCAAAATTACTAAAGTCTTTTGTGCTGCTTGAAATATGAATAAAAAGTATCTTTTATAGATTGAACTCATGCCTAACCTAGACCCTTTTAAAATGAATTAAGCTATGAATCATAACTACCTTAAATCCATTCATGAGAGTATCTTTTACTATTACATCTATCCTTAATAAAGAGATTTGTGGTTAAAAGGAGAATAGATATATGCCTCTTTGGGCATAGCTAGAGCTCTAGACTACTTGTGGTCTTCCCTGGGGAAAAGACACCTGGGCAAAGATAGGAGGGAGGAAGGTGAGGGTGATAAAATGCAAGATAGGGAAAGATTGCCTTGTGTGGTGTGAGTAGGCCCCGTCTATGAACTGTTATTGTAGAAGCTCATCTGTGAATGAGCTCTTTGTATGATGGATACTGTAAGACTAGCTCTGGATTGAGTGCATTGATTAGTTAGGAGCCTGAAAGAGGTTGACCTCTGGAGATAAATAATCTGCTTCTTCCCAGCTGGGACTGGTTGACTTGGCGACGAGGCTATGAGGGGGTGGAAAGCTGCACAAAGGACAAAGATCATTTCCTTTACCTGGGCTTGCTTGCTCACTTGCACTCAATTCTCACTCCGACATCGTTGATGTTGACTCTGCACTCTTTATCTAATTGCGCTCTTCTCTTAAAACTAAACTCACCTCATGAGGTTCCCACATAGCATCTAGTTTCTTGGAGTGTGTGTGAGTATATTCGGGAAGAAGAGAACTATAAACCCTAAGCCCTTCTCCAACACATCCTGTATAATTTGCTATTCATGATGGTCCCTACTCTGTCACTTTAGTCTAAGGCCCATCTCAAGCAATATTACTTAGTGACCCCATACTCAGTCATTCACAAGTAAGAAGCAGATGTTACGGAAAGCAGTAGGTTTACTATGATGGGAAAGTTCTGTCTGCAATGTGAGAACTATGTTGGCTTTTTTTGCTTGAACCTTAATGGTACAGTATTACTACCAACTGATGGCAATGGACAAGACTACAACAAGGGGCACTCATTCATGTTAGTCCTCACACTGAGTTCACAGGTATAGCAACAGACCCAGCATGTGACAGAGTTGAAATAAAATTCGGGAAATGTGCTCATTAAATGTTGACGAAAGAAGAAATGACTAGAATTGGTATAATTTGTAACTAATTTTCATATAGCAGGTTATCTGTGGGATACTGTCAAATATTATTTGTTACATCAGCAGTTGTCTAGTGTTGCCAAATACTCATGCATGTCAGACCTGTTGAAT